CCAGAGCTCATAAACTCTGCTTAAAAGGACGCAAATATCTCTAGGAGAGCTCCTGGCTAAGTGTTTTGTATCTTTGAAATAAAAGCAAGATGTTGCCATTGTGCATCATTGACGTTTTTATTTAGTTGTCTGTTGCAGAGGAGAGAAACTTCTCAGGTGAGCCTAGAATTCAAGGCCACATGGCTCAGTTTCTCAAGAGATATTTAAGGATGGTAGTTTATTCTTTTCATAAATATAGCACGGTTATTTATGCTTATATTATAAAACCTTATTGTAAACAAAACAATGAAATGCCCTTTATCAAGGATAATTTTTTGCATTTAATACAAACCTTTGTACACCAGTCTTTCATAGGGCTCCCGCCAATTCACAGTAATGACAACACACAAATGTTCATTTAGGTTATTGGTGTGAGCCAGATTATATTTCATTATCTACAGTACCTTCAGTCTTATTTTTCGTGGAAATAAAGCCTTAAAATATTAGGCTTCCAAATATTTCAAACATGTTTTCATCAGTCATGAATTAGTTTTATTTAGATTTTTTCTCAAGACACGAAATGCCAAAATACTACTTTAAAAGGCCCCTCTGAAATCAAGAAAGAAATCAATAAGATTTATCTCCTTGCTACTAAGCTTGAAATGAGCATGTGGGAATTCTGGGAGTTGAAGTCCTCTAGTTCAAGTTGCCAAGGTTGGAGACCTCTGGTCTAGATGACAGAGCTCCATGCTGTTTTTGTCAAAGCCATCAGTTCCCTCCAGATGTTGCAACTCCCCAAATTCTCAGGCAAAGACCCACCATTTGACCAGGACTTGGAGCAGCAGTCCCCACACATCTGGGGAAGCTATGTGGGAGAAAGCCAGGCATTTTCATCCAAGGGCTTATCCTATGTTTTCTGCATTTCTAACTTAAAATGTCCTGGTTGAAGTTTAGTTCTGGAATTAAAAGAAATGCCCAAGAGAGCCCTCCCAATCGATCTTTACGCAAACATCAATGCTTGAGACTATTACATATTGGCATTTGTAAGTATTAATGCAAGCCTGACATTTCCATTAACACATATACACAAAACATCCAACAAATTTCAGCTTTTTGGATTAGTAAACAATACTCCACGGACGAGGCTTCTGTTAATAATGTTTCTTATTGTTGGAAAATCTCTAGTGGACAAATTTGTCAAACATACAAAAGGTCTAAAAGTGAAATATAGTAATTAAGACTCTCACTTTATTGATTGGGGAGCTTAAGTAATTTTTCATTACTAACGTAAGATTTAATACATAAAAGTAGTTAAAGATTCTGCCTTGGCACTAGCCATTAGCATGTAATTGAACTAGTAAAAAAGATCAGTTTAACCTATGTTGATTACCACCTTACCTTTGAAAGGCAATTAAGGATCTCAATCATTGCAACAAGATTTGATTGTGTGGCCTTTATTGGACATTGATCTTTTAGCAAAGCGCAGTTACATTTTCCATTAATTTACAGTAGCAGTTTGACTCTGGTACCTTAGACCATTGACCCAGATAAGATGTCAGGCTAAGTACTCGTTTAGTTTAAGGTGCTCCCACCACTCATTCCTCTTTAAAAGGGACACCGAAACAAGTCCGATATCCATCAAGCAGGCTTAGGCGAAGGTTTCGGTTACTGACGTGCGTTTCATCAGGCTGGATTCCCTCATGCTCATCATGTCCTTCTCCTCCTTTGCTTTTTTAAGCACTGCCCTTCTACCAAAGGAGAGAGATAATTAAAGCAGGGGAGAAACGTCCAAACAGAAAGCGGAGCAACTATTGTGTTTCAAAGGATCGCGTTTCCTGGAAGGTCATGTTTTCCAGGCATCTTAAATGCATTTTGAAGAGGTATTGAAAATACCTGCCCAGCCGTTTTATTGCCAATGACACTGGAGGGCCAGGAACTGGGAGGGGTTGCTGGGAGGTTTGAACAAGATAAAAAACCAGAAATAATTGATCATGTAAAATGTGGGGGGGGACTGAAAGCTAAGAGTAAGGACCTTCCCAAGGATGGAGCGGGGAAATTAAAATTAAAAAAACACCACTTATCAGGACATGGAACCAAAAGAATAGGTGGTGCTTACATCACTTGGGTACAATACCTTATTTTGTACTACAGTAGATGTGAAAACCACCTTTTATATTTTCCTCTCTCCTGCAAGTAACATACTGCAAAGGTCAGATTTGTCTGTGTGAAGGCAGGACGAAGCAGATTTGCACTTGAGATTCATGCAAAACAATCTCACAGCAGACATACGTGAATTATTTCAGATGGTCATGAGTTCACACACTGTAGACAGCCTTCAGGTGATATGCTTGGCTTAACATGCGATAGAAATTATCACAGTGACTTGTAAATCACAGGGGACAGATCAGAATTGGGAGACCACCACCAATCAGGGTCATTAAAACAGATCACAGGTAAAATAAGGCTAGCTTTGTGTAATGTTTGTTTTCTCCTTAGAATTACCCATTTTTTATTCAGGGCCCAAATTTCACACTCGCTTCATTTTTATCCTTTTAAATAGGAATGCAAGAAGTGTTTTTAGGACAGAGCCTGTTTAATTCTTCAAAAGTTGACGTAGGCACAAGTCATATGTATTTGAATATAAGGATAGGATTTGTTTTGGGGAGGGGGAGTAGACTATGAAAATTTACAGTGCTAAGCCTAAATTTTTGAGTACTTTGATTTACCTCAATCAGCAAATCTGCCAGTTCTTGATTTAAGTGCAAACAGGAAATCCAATCTTTTGTTTTCCAAACAAATCGGGAATTAGAAGATAAGAACCAATCAGGTTTCTGACTATGGGTTGTGGTTTCTCTGCCATAACAAATAGGTCAGAGAAGAAACTTCTGGGTTGAGAGAACCCTTGAGTGGCAGGTGCCAACTGCAACCATTGGGAGTCCACGGAAGAACATTCCTCAGATCCGCTCAGCTTCTGCTTGAAACTTCCAGTGTGGGAAAGCTTATGGTCTTCATCACTAATTGGTTCCTACGAACCTTTTGGAATTGTCCCAAAGATCTACCTGGAATTGGCTTTTCTCTCATTGAGAGCCATTATTCCAGGTCCTCCATGCTGAAGAAAAGAGAACAGCTCTCATGTACTCAATCACAGCTAGCATGTTGCCTCTTCCTGAGGATTACAACAACCCGTCCCATTAGGTCCTGCAGGAGAGGCTGCTCCAAAACCCGTCTGTTAGGGACTATCAGCTGGGGGAGACCCTGTTTTGCTATGCACCTGCCCTTTGGATGATCAGGTGAGTCCTGACTGGTTTTTTGCAAGGTCTTCAAGATGTGGTTTTGTCCCTGGGCCTGGAGATCCGGATGGGTAGCAGAGCTGATGCAATCGCTGTGTTAAATTTGTGTGGGCTTTCTACCCCAGATGTTGATTGTATTTGTGCATTTTTAAATACTGTTTATTAGTTTTGATAATCATGAATTTCAGATGGGCAGTCACATAAACTGAAATAATATTACCTGCCTCAGCAAAACAGTCCCAAGAGGTTTTTTTTTGATGATACCTACCCAAATTCGTTCCCAATAGAATTAATCTATCCCATCATCTACAGTGGGATGCCTCCCATCAACTGAACAATGAACCTTCTGTTTAAATACAAGTGGTCACACAAACAGCCCCTAATGATAACTATTATTGCATCTGAACTCTGCCCTTGGTCATCTTCCAAGTTCATCCTTCACCATGGTCAACTCTTGAAGTACTTGAGATCCATTGATTTTCATGTAATAAAAAGAAAATGTCTTATTACATTTGCCTAATTGTTGCACCTTGAGAGCTCTGAGCAAGACTCTGCTTGCTATTAATGCTGCAAACACTGTCAAAACCTGGGGAATCAATAGAGTAGTTTGTCAAGGAGATTCTCCAAGGAGGGATGCCCAGCGCTATATAGACAAGGAGTCGCGTTCCCTCCACTTATCGGAAAACAGGTAAGCAAAGTCAGCACTCTCCATTATCAGAAATCAAATAAGCTGCAGCTAGTGAACGGGCCACTCCAAGGGGAAGCTTTATTTATTGCATAGTAATTAAAAAACATTTTATCAGTCTTGTGTTGAGACCAAACCTTTAAAGAAGAGTATTGACAAAATCGGGAGCAATGAACGAGCAGTATTTGACTTTAACTTATGAGCTGCACTTATTTAATTCTGCCCATTACTGGGAACATAAGTTCCAGCCAATCTAGCAAAATGCTAATAGTCACTTTTATTATTAATGAAGCTTAATGTAACACACCAGCTACTCCTCTGGGCAAACTATTTATTTAACTTGTATTAGGAATATCCTTTGGTATCAAATATACTGGAGTTTCCTTGATTACAGATTTAGAGCTGCAGTTAAAACAAAACAAATGTACTACTTGTCTTCTGAATGAAAGCAATTCATAATTCAATTCTGATGGATTTTAAGAAATATACTTACACAAAATCTAACAAGAGCCTTTTGAAAAACGTCCTAGATGAAAATAACTTGCTGAAACAATTTAAAATGAACAAATGTTACGCATGCTTTTAGATCTGTTTTCATAACTACATTATTTCTGCAACACTTTATCAGGAAAGCTTTGGAAGTCAAGAGTTTGAAAACAAACTAGAGTGACTGAGTGAATATAATTTTCTACATTAAGCACATGACAAAATCATATTGTGTGTTAATTACTTCTAAATCATTTAAGTCAAATAATAAAGCACACTTAACTATCTTCCATTGAAAGCAATGTGATTAAACAGGTACTTAATTTCGGCCAGATCACAATCACTCTGACTGCAGGTACAAGACCAATCTCCACATTCAACCCTCTGAAATTTCAGGTATTCCACCCCCCCACCCCCCCAAAACCCCTCTGGATTTTAATACAAACAACTTCTATTTATCAGAGGACTGAACCACTGTTTTGAATATCAGTTATATCTTTTAAAAACTTCATTAAGAAACAGATTGCTTTTAAATTGTACTTAAGAATTGGATAATGAGGTAAGATCGCAAAAAAACCAGCATTTTAATTAAGAGGCAAAAGTCAGCTTTGGATGAAAGAAGTTAATTCAGATAATTTCCCAGAGTTTTGTTTGGTTTGCGGATGTGCATAATTCAACATGTATTTGATGTTTTACAGAGTCAAAGAAAAGCAATGTTTCAACAATAGGGACATGCCTTGAAAAAATACATATACTGTTTGCATAAGAATGTCGACACGGCAAACATTTTAAGAAAATATTCTTTTCTCTAATTTAGCACTATAAGTTTTTGAGACCGTTTTAGTACATGGCGCCTTCATCTTCTTTATTCAGGAAGTAAATAGTGACCGGGCCACAACACGTCTGAACAGTCTCAGTGACGCTGGCAAAACACCAAGAACTGATTCCGTATAATAACGTTGGGATTCCTAGTGCAAAAAGAAACAGGTTAAGAGTCGCACGACTCTTACTATTCAGAACAGCTTTAAGCCAAGTGCTGGATGGGACTTAGGAACGTTTTTCAGTTAGGAATGTTGCAGCATCCCTGTGGTCATGTGATCAAAATTGCGATGCTTGGCAATTACTTCATATTTATGATGGTCGCTGTGTCCCGTCACATGATCCACTTTTCTGACTTTCTGACAAGCCAAGTCAATGGGAAGCCAGATTCACTTAGCAACTGGGTTACTAACTGACCAACTGCAGTGATTCACTTAACAACTGGGGCAAGAAAGATTGTAAAATGGAGCAAAACTCCCTTAACAAATGTCTCACTAAACAACAGAATTCTTGGGCTCCATTGTGGTTGTAAGTTGAGGACTACCTGTACATGAAGTCACCGGGGCTCAAGTGACTCCAACAAGCAACTGCCAGAGCCAGTGGGATCCAAGCACTGCAAGGGGGAAATGAGGTTTGCAGAATATTTTGAACTGGATAACTTTCTTGGGGAAAAAGGGTACAGAATGCAACTGGAAAATGAAGGGGAGGATGTTTCCCCCTCCTTTCCTTAATTGGTTTATTTTGATTGACAGCCACAGTCATGGGAGCCATGCAAGCTTGCAAGTCAACACAGACCTGGTTCCCGTTAAAACAGTGAAAACTTTCCCATAAACGAAAGTGAATTCCTAGCAGCAGCAGAAATAATAATGAACTAGTATAGGGATCTTCAACCTTGGCAAGTTTAAGACTTGTGGACTTCAACTCCCAGAATTCCTCAGCCAACTTTGCTTAAAGCTGCCAAAGTTGCCAAGGTTGGAGACCCCTGCACTAGCAGCCCTTCAGGCCACCCCCTGCCCCATCATTATGTTTCTTTTAGGGGAATTTAAAGCAGATTTATCCAAGTGAAACGGGGCACTTCTTGAAAGGGAGAGCTGGGTTTAACAGTAACGAAGTTGGAAGGGACCTTGTAGGTCATTTAGTCCAACCCCCTGCTCACGCAGAAGACCTATACTAGGGATTTGAATCGCCGACCTTTCTGATCGACAAGCTGGGCATTGAAGCCCTTCCCGTCCCTTGCAGAAAAGGTTTGGAAATTCTTTTCCTACCTTGCAGCTTTTATATAACCCCCGTCTGACCCCAATTAAAGTTAAAAAAAAAAAACCCTAGGAGATCCTAAGCATAAGTTTTTCTACTGAGTTTTTCTACTGAGTGGATTTCTACAGCATTTAATGTTTCTAGTTTGGCTGTTAGAATCGAGATTTCACATTCACATATAAAACTGCAACAGCTCTTTCTGTTGTCAGTTTTTTAGAATCTTCTCCCTGGGCAAAAAAAAAAAGTTTGATCGTACCGTGATGGATTTTAGCAGTTTAAGTTATTTGATTTTGTGCCAAGAACAAAGCTCTGTGCCAGGTTATAATCCTTGACTACAAGGTTTGCTGTGAAATAAAGGACTTGTTCTATGCACTTAAAAAAAAAATCTGTCTCGACAAATAGAATAGCAATAGCAGTTAGACTTATATACCGCTTCAAAGGGCTTTCAGCCCTCTCTAAGCAGTTTACAG